CCAAAAGCGTTTAATTTTTTTAAAATAACCATTCAATCAATGATTAATAATCTTTAAAAAAGAGAAAGCACAACATTCAAATAATTTTGTAGTGAATTCTACCAAACATTAAAAGAAGATGACACACTTCAAGGTGTCTTCCATAAATACAAACAGAAACACTTTCCAACTCATTCTCTGACACAAATCTCATCCTAGTTATAAAACCAAATAAAGCCATTACTTAAAAGGAGGATCACAGAGCAAGCTCTCTTATGAACTTAACTATACCACCCCCAAATATTAGCAAACATTATCTAGAAATATTTAATAAAGATGATACATCGAGAACAAGTGGGATTTACCTAGGTATGCCATCCTGATTTAACTTTCAAAAATCAATGAATGGAACCCCCCAAGGTAGTAGTCTACACAACACGAGATCACATGATCATATCCGTTGGTTTAGAAATATCCATTCGAGGTAAAACTTTCGTCACCCTCAGAGGAGAACGATGTCCCCCTGATAAAGGACGTCTGCAGAACCTGCACAGCCAGCACGACAGTTCACCACACGTAGAGTGGACTGCACAGCACAGGCTCACGCCAGACACGAGGCAGAGACGCGCTCTGATGAGTCAGCTTTCTGCCACTGCAGTGAGGTGCCTGACACAGGCTACCTGTAAAGTAGAGAGAGGTTTATTTTGGCTTGTGGTTCTGGGAGTTCAAGTGCAAGATCTGGTGTTTCTACTAGTTTGGGTTCTTGTGTGAGCATGGTGGAAGTTCAGATAAGAGCAAGCAGTGACCTCTCACACCAGGGAGCAGTGTGTGTGTGTGTGTGTGTGTGTGTGTGTGAGAGAGAGAGAGAGAGAGAGAGAGAGAGAGAGAGAGAGAGAGAGTGAGTGTCCAGGGCCTAAGGACCTGAGAAATGTCTTCGCCAGGCTTCCCCTCCCACAGGCTGCAGCATCTCTCCCCAGCAGTTAGGTGGGGACCAAGCCTTTAAACACCTGTGTGTGGGAGGGGGGGTCTACGTGTCAACATTTTGGTGTGTTGAAGTTGCAGCTAGTGCATCTTTAGGCATTGAGATGTAGCTAGTACACACACATACACACAGATGTGAAAGGGGAAAAATACTGTTTTTATTTGCAGGTGGTACGGTTGTCTATGTATAAAATTACAAAAGTCTAAAAAAAAAAGCCCCCTGGAACTAATAGGTAAGCATAGAAAGTTTGCAAAGCCAATGCACAGAAGCCGATTGTTTTCCTGTAACCCAGCAGTGAACAAGTGGAATTTTAAATTAAAAAGCAATAACTTTTATGACAACACTAATAAATAAAGAGGTAGGTAGGTGTAAAACTATAAAATATTTTTGGGAGAAACAACAAATCACAGATGAAATAAAATTTAGAATTTTTAGATAAATGGAAAGTTATTCTCTATTAATGCAAAGGAAGATTCAGGATTGTTAAGATACCAGTTCTGCCCAACTTGGTTGAGATGTAGATTCAATTCAAAGCAATCCCAGTAAAATCCCAGTAAGTTACTCTGTAAACATGGACAGACTCATGCTGAAGTTCATTACGCAGCAAAGCAGTAAACTTGAAGGAGCCAAAACAACACTGAAGAAACAAGAGTCAGGTCCCGCACACTGTCTGCTCCTACGGCTTCTACGGCAGCAGCTCTAAGACAGCTTTGTCCTAGTGAAAGGACAGACGGATCAGTGCGACTCAGAGAGACACTGAACTTCGTGGGTGAGACAGTGGGGGTGCCACCCAGGGCCCAGGCACACCGCACAAGCACCTACCACTGCGCTACCCCGGCCCTTTAGCTGAGTTTTGATACAGGCTCAAAGACCATTCAATAGAGAAAGATAAGCTCTTTTCTACAATTGTGTTGGAACACTTGAACACCATTATAAAAAACAATGAACCTAGACAGAATTTATACATTTCATAAAAAACAACTCAAAGTGAATTATAAAAGTGCCTATAAAAATGTAAAAATATAACTTTTCTAGAAGAAAATAATTGAGAACATCCATATGACTTAGGAACTTAATGATGAATTTTTAGATACAAATCAAAAGCAACATCTATGAAAGAAAAATGCACTCAAATTAAAAAAAAAAAAAACACTTCTACTCTATAAAAGTCACTTTCATGAATGAACTGGGTGGAAGTATTTGTGAGACACATATCTGGAGACACATATCTGATAAAGAACTTGTATCCAGAATACACAGAGAACACATGAATTTCAATGTTTAAAAAAAAATTGAAATAAATACTATGTAGGAACAAAAACCTCATCAGAAAAGGTGCACACATGGAAAATAAGCCTGTGGGAAGATTCTTAACTCAGTGTGTTACTAGGGATTCGCAAATTCTTTAAGGACAACATTACATACCTATTAGATTAATGCAAGTCCCCAAACACTGGCTACACCAGTTACTGGTGAGGATGTGGAGGGACAGATGCCCTTTTATCCCTGGCGGGAATGCCGAATTTTGTCTCTACTTTGGAAGACAGTTTGGCAGTTTCCTGTGAAGCCAAATCCAAACAAGCCACTCTACTCCTAGGCATTTACTCAGTCAATTTAAACTCATACTCACACGTGTCTACATGTGAATATCTACACAGCAGGAGCTTTTTAAATGTTCAACGAACCTGGGAGCAATGACACCTCTGTCCTTTGATAGATTGATAATTAATGAAATGAGGAATATACAAATAATAAAATATCATTCAGCAGTAAAAAATAAGCCATCAAGTATTGTGAAGACATGGATTATTTTAAAATTCATATAGGTTAGTGAAAGAAGGTCACTATGCATTTGCCACTTTATAGAACAAACAGTAAAGCTTCATTCAAGCTTATCTATGATCCCATGAATGAGGGGAAGGACATCCCCATGAAAGTGACTGTGACAGAATACTCGACTATATTGCACTTCACGGAGGTGGGAGGGAAGAAAAGTATTGCCCTAAGTATCTTTGTAGATGAGCAGGCATCATAAGACCAAGAAACCAAAGCCTGCACATGAGCAATGCATGCAGTTTCCCCACGGGTACAGTTAATGTTGATTCAGCTGTAGGTGTGTGATGGAAATGATCCATTAGTGGTGAAGGCATGTTGTGACCCAGGTTTCTCACTGCTGGAGGCTACAGATATGGGAATGGACTAAGAGTTGAGGCATTGTGTGAATTTACGCTCAGCCTAATGCATGCGCAGGTGATTATGGTCGAGTATTCCTAGACCCGCCCACATGCATGAGTTAGTATATACACAACTACTCTTTGTTCCAAAATCTGGGAGGACCCAGAAGCACTGGCTCTCTGTAGTAACAACCATAACTACCACCCACTTGTTATCCAATACTTTTCTCCAATAAAAGGGGCCAAGGTCCCTTGGAGAAATGACAGATCATTTTAGGACCAGGGTAGGAAATATTCAAGATGAACCTTGAGCATCTTAGTGGGAGAAGACACAAAGAGCACAATGCATACTCACCTGTGTGGACACACACACACACACACACAATATGGGGGTGTGTCGGAAGGAAGATTGAGCTGAGTGATAGAACTGACTGTCCTCCAGTAACACACAAGAAATGTGGCATTGGGTTATATCCCAAAGTATAAAGAGCTTATCTATGATCCCATGTTGACGTAAACGATGGATTGTGTAACACGGTAATGGGAGAAGTACACGAATTCTTGTGTAAAACAGTCAAATAATTTGTGTGGAGGATCCACCCTCAAGGAAATGGAGCTAGCCCCCTGTAAGAGCAGGCTGTGCGCAAAACCTTTCTTCCAAAGAAGAGCAAGAGGGGGGAAGCCAGGTGGCAGTGGGGGAAATGACCACCTCGGCCGAGTGAGCAAGGTCCACTCTGACATGGGGACAGCAAGTCATGGGAACGGCACTTCACCTGCACATTCTTCACAAAGCCCACAGCCTGGCCAGCCCTGAGCCGGACATCAGGCAAATCAAAGTGAGATCCATACTGACTTGACCGTGCCTCAAACTGTCAAGGCCGTCAGAAGCAAGAAACGCCTGAGAAACCCCCAGGAAAGGGGAGCCTAGAGACATACTGCAGAAAGGCAGTGCCACATCCCAGTGGGATCCTGGAACGGGAGACACACTAGGAGACACTGGGAACCTCTGTATCAACTTCAGATTTTATGAGTCATAGCGCCTCTACCCGAGGCACTGCACCATATTCAGGTAGGGTGTTGATCATAAAGAAGTGTAGACACGGTCGTATGGGAAATACCTGTACTCTTCTGTCATTTTTTTCCTGCAAATTTTAAACTATTTTATAATAAAATGTGTATTGTAAAATTCTAGCTGCTGATTCAATGCATAAAAGTCAGTAAGAATATCTCCTCTGAAATGGGCCCCCATGATGATCCAGAACACTGGGCAGCCTGGAGCGTGTCCAGGTCTTTGGAGAGCACGTCCTTGAGGGGAATATTTGGACTTTGGTTTGGCCCTGTCTCTTCCTGGCCACCACAAGTTGAGCAGACCCCTCTGCCAGGCACCCCTGCCATAATGGATCATGCTGCCACATGGACTTACGAAACCACGAGCCAAAATCCACCTTTCCTCCTCTTACGTTGACCACCTCAGGTGTTCTGTCACAGTGACGGAAAGCTGCTGTTTGCCTGTCAAACACCTCCAGGAAGCTTTAATTTGACGTGCAGTCTTATATTATTAGGATCCTTCATTGCAAACTTCCAGGAGTTAATTTACTTGACGATGATAAATTCCCTCCTGCCCTGATGCACGTGGCTGGCACATGTGGTGATTCCTTTGTGTAATAAACCAAATAAGGGTGTCAGGACTTGGGCTCTGGATTAGAGCACTGAACATTTGGAGGAGAGTCAAAACAGAAGAAAATGGATTAAGGACAGACGGCAGCTGAACTACCACTCTGGAGAGCTGGGTGGAGTGCCCTCAGAGGGCGCCCCTCCCCAGTGACAGGAGAGACCTGGGCAAACACCGCTTGTGCCTGCTGAACCGTTCACCTCCAAACACAAGTCTGCGTGAACTCAATTACTTGAAGACCAACACTAAAAGGAACCCACATCTACTCTACTTTGTTTTCTGCCAAAACTCAGCATGAGTTTTGTTTTCTTTAAAAACTACCATTTCCATATAATTGGATTAACCCAGCATGTGACTCTGGCCAGATGTCAAAGCTGCCTAGATTGGGGAGGTCCCTCGTGTGACCTCTCTCTCACTGTTCCAGGAGTTCAAATGGAGCCATTGGCTAGAAGCCCCTCCCGGGGCCTGAGGAAGTTACCAGTGTTGGAGGAAAACAAGAACGGTTCAATTAAAGCTTCACATGTGCCAATGGTGGTGGTCAGAGATCAAGAAACCGTTTTTTTTAATGGCTAGCAGCAACTTTCAGTCCTGTGAAGATGGACAGAGGGAAGACAATGATGTTGCAAGCAATTATTAGATTCAGAAAGAGACGATTTGAGTTCTCAAGTCTCCTTTGCTATGAGCTCAACTGCTGTGAAGCCAGATTATTCTTTCCTCCCAGGGTTGTTCTCTCTCCTCCAAAGGTGCAGACTTGCAACCTGGCAAGCACTTCCCAAGCCCTACTGTGTGCAGCACCTGCGGTGTTGGGCGGACACACATCATAGCACTTCCCCTGAAACATGTCACGTGGGAGAGTAAAAGGACCAGACAGTGGGCAGAGGACAGGGCAGAGCTGCGTGACACAGAGGGCCACACTACTCCAAGTTGGGGAAGAGGTTTAGGTTCATTCCTGGAAGATGTGCCACTAGACTTGGTGTCCGTGCCCAAGCACAAGGAAGCACTCTCATCTAGGAAGGGGCAGGTGGGCTGTGGCTGCCAGCATTTGTGGATTTAGGTGTGGCCAATTATCTTAAGTCACCAGGACTTAGAAAAATCTATCTAAATTTAGGTGAGATTGTCCTATACTTCTGGACACGTGGAGATTTGGAACCAACACTAGGCGGAAGGAGACTGGTGCTCCCGCTGGTGAGGCTCCATGGGACGCTGGGACCTCGCAGAGGAGAGGACAGGGCTTCCCTTCCCACAGGTTTAAGGTACTGCCTGCTTCTTTAAACCACCCGGGGCCCTCTCTGGCCCTTCTGTGGGCATGCTGATGTGATAAGCCAAGGACCCAAGGGCAGCTGCAGAAGACCCTGCTGAAGGCAGGCCCAGGAGGACCCCCCTCCTAACGAGGTCACCAGAGGGCTCTGCAGCCCGTCTCAGGGGTGGCCACATCTTAGGAAAGCATAATCTACTGAAGGGCCCAAGGGAGACCAGCTTTGGCCCCCTTGGCCAGCTTCCTGCTCCCGTGTGATCACCTTCCTCTTCTGACAATTTGGAGCACCGTAATGCGGGGAGAGGCGGGCCACCCCACTTTCTTGCTGCTTTATGGGACCATTACAGCCACAGTTAGGTGGTTAATGATGAGCAGAAGCGTATTTCCTGGTTGTGGAGGCTGGGATGTCCAGTCCAGGGCCTGGAGTCTGGCCAATGCTGTCTTGTGCATCATTCCAAGTAGAAGACAGAGTGGTAAAGGGAGGGAAGCCACCCCGAAAACCCTCTTTCAGGCAGCTCAGCCTGGCCAGAGCTAAGGCACTGACCCCACCTGGGAAGGAGGAGGCCTCAGCCTGGCCAGGTCCTAAGGCACTGACCCCACCTGGGAAGGAGGAGGCCTCAGTCTGGCCAGATCTAAGGCACTGACCCCACCTGGGAAGGAGGAGGCCTCAGTCTGGCCAGATCTAAGGCACTGACCCCACCTGGGAAGGAGGAGGCCTCAGCCTGGCCAGATCTAAAGCACTGACCCCACCTGGGAAGGAGGAGGCCTCAGTCTGGCCAGGTCCTAAGGCACTGACCCCACCTGGGAAGGAGGAGGCCTCAGCCTGGCCAGATCCTAAGGCACTGACCCCACCTGGGAAGGAGGAGGCCTCAGTCTGGCCAGGTCCTAAGGCACTGACCCCACCTGGGAAGGAGGAGGCCTCAGTCTGGCCAGATCCTAAGGCACTGACCCCACCTGGGAAGGAGGAGGCCTCAGCCTGGCCAGGTCCTAAGGCACTGACCCCACCTGGGAAGGAGGAGGCCTCAGTCTGGCCAGGTCCTAAGGCACTGACCCCACCTGGGAAGGAGGAGGCCTCAGCCTGGCCAGGTCCTAAGGCACTGACCCCACCTGGGAAGGAGGAGGCCTCAGCCTGGCCAGGTCCTAAGGCACTGACCCCACCTGGGAAGGAGGAGGCCTCAGCCTGGCCAGGTCCTAAGGCACTGACCCCACCTGGGAAGGAGGAGGCCTCAGTCTGGCCAGATCCTAAGGCACTGACCCCACCTGGGAAGGAGGAGGCCTCCTTCCCAAGGGCCCACCACTCACGGGGTTGCTTTTGCAGCTACATTTCCAACCTGAGCAAGGAAGTGAGAGACCTTCACATCTCAGCACCCTCTAGTAACCAGCCTCTTTCCCAATTTCTTTTCTCTTGGATCTCAATTTTCTTGGGACTCTGTCTCTCCATTTAGTCATTTTGGTATCTTAAATTCAGAGAATTTTTGTTTCCACCTAAAATTTGGAATTCAATTTTAAATACTATTTGAATCATTTTAAAATTATTATTTTATGGTGCACCACATAAATATTCATGCTACCTACAGTTCTTTGGGAGTAACTGTGTGCTCTCTTTTGTACTGTTCCTTGCTCATAGTGAATTTTTGCCCTTTCTCTTCTGAATTTTTTTGAATTTGAGGGTCTGAGATGTAAGCCATGGACATTCTGCATATGACCTGTGAAGGAGGAGCAGTGTCACAGAGAAGCCTGCTGTTGGCCTGAGCTCATGTTCTCATGTGACTTGACTAGTCCGTGTTTTTGGTAATCCATTCGCTGGACACAAACATGAAGCCAGGACCTACTGAGAGCAGCCTCTTGATAGCAATCCCTGGAGAGGCCCTCACTTGTTCTCTACCCAGGAAGCAACACCCTTTTCCCTCGTCTGGATCCTAAACCAACTGAGAAAACCAATCACCTAGATTGGAAATGAAATGGCACCATCATTTTTGATAAAGTTGGTACCCAGGTGTCCAGCTGTACCTGCAGGTGGACATGCCTCTGCGTGTTGCACCCCACATCTGGGGCAGAGGGAGCACATCTTGCCCCTCATACGCACCAGGACAGGTCATTGCCCGCCTCCCTTCTTACACATCCAAGTGCATTCCCAGGCACCTGCCCCCTAGAGGACGTGAGGAAGGGCCAGCCCCCCTGCCCTCCTCCCCACGCATCAGCAGCCAACTCCTCCTTCCACGGGGGAAGTCAGCGTGGCAAGACGCAGACAGCAGACATGGAGATGATCTCCTGGAGGCAGGAGGAGTGGGGGACGCAGGGGGGAATGTGGACCAGCCTGTCCCCGGGGCCTGCACACTTGCCTTCTCATTCTGCTGCTCCCGTTGCCTGACTTGGTTGGAGCCCCTCTTAACTCTCCTGCCCTCTGGCACCCTGCAGTCCTTTCTGAACCAACTCCCTGCTCCTGCAAGGTAGGGCTCTCTCTAGTCCTCTGTGTCCCTCTCAGGACCCTTTAGCGACTCACAGGAACCTGGAAACCAATCTCATGTTCTCCTGGAGGAAAGGGCCTTATCTCTGGGTTCATAGGACTGGCCCCCACTGCCCTGTGCTCAGCAGTCACCACTCGTCCCCACCCTATGGTGGCAGCTGGCTCTGAGCAGCAAGCTCTCACTGAGCAGAGACCCTCCCACCTTGTCCGTGGGCACCTGGTCACCAGTCGTCGGCTCCTCACAGGAGAAAGGTTTCCCACCAGTGCTGGTGAAAGTGGTGGGTGGACCTCTCTGTGCCTATGTAAATGTCTGGACCCCCATGAAGACAGAGGGAGAGGGAGGGACAGATGAGAGCACCCTTCATGTTCTGTGACACTCGGGTTTTCAGATGTGACTTTCCCCAGTGGAAGCAGGCCTGGAGTGGGACAGTGGGCTGCAGGTCCCACCACCCAGGGCAAGATGGGAGACAGGAGAGGCTGTGCCCAGTGAGCAGGGGCACAGAGCACTTCAGGTTCAATGTGAAACCCTTCCTGCCGCCTCTTGTGAGGGTGTTAAGGTATGCATGGTGCATGACAAGTTTGAGCCCTTAATGCTGTGCCAACGTGGCTTCACTCAACTAATCCACACACATACTGCACCTTTATTTATTATGATGATTTGCAGTGCTGGGGAGGGCACCTGAGCCACATCCCCAGACTAACCTATGTGAAGAGTAATAAAATAATCCCAAGCAAAGGTCAGTAGTTGGTTTATAATAACATTATCAATTATTAATCTGTGTCTAACAGGAATAGAAGGTCTAGGTTAAAGTTAATTTTGCAAGTTAGAGTTTAACACTCACAGAGTTTGAGCAAAGAGGAATCAGTAAGTCCCTCAGAGGAGACCTAGTTAATCAGCAGGAGGTAAAAGTGGGTGGCCTGAGAAGACCTTTTTTTTTTTAAATTTTTATTGTTGGTTGTTGAAAACATTACATAGTTCTTGATATATCATATTTCACACTTTGATTCAAGTGGGTTATGAACTCCCATTTTTACCCCATACACAGATTGCAGAATCACATCAGTTACACATCCATTGATTTACATATTGCCATACTAGTGTCTGTTGTGTTCTGCTGCCTTTCCTATCCTCTACTATCCCCCTTCTCCTCCCCTCCCCTCCCCTCTTCTCTCTCTGCCCCCTCTACTGTCATTCATTTCTCCCCCTTGTATTATTTTTCCCCTTCCCCTCACTTCCTCTTGTATGTACTTTTGTATAACCCTGAGGGTCTCCTTCCATTTCCATGCAATTTCCCTTCTCTCTCCCTTTCCCTCCCACCTCTCATCCCTGTCTAATGTCAATCTCCTTCTCATGCTCTTCCTCCCTACTCTGTTCTTAGTTACCTGAGAAGACCTTGGTGGAAATATTTTGTCTGCAGAAGCAAAATCCTTACAGTGGACAAACCAGGGCCTGGGGCTGGGTGAGGCTGTCAGGGGCAGCTGAGACTCTCAGAGAATGTTGATTGAAATTCTCCCTCCCTCCCTCCCTCCCTCCCTCCCTTTCAATTCCTTTCACTTTTTTTTTTTTTCCGGAGGGAAAATTTTAAAAGGATCAAAACTTCGTCCATGTGGCTCTTCAATGTTACATCCATACCCAGGCTAAAGACTTTGGAAACTGAGGAAGATCTAACTTTTCTTGAGGTAATTTAAAGGATTTCAGTAATTTCTGCCCAAACAATAACAACAAAACCCACCTTCGAAGCTTCAGGACGCACACTGGGGCTGGGGCCGGCGGGTCCCTGTGCGTCTCTGTTGGCAGGCTCCTCAGAGTCCTGTGGCCTGACGGAACACTGGGAAGCCCAGAGGAGAGGTGCCGAGGAGCAGCTGGAGGCCTGGCCCCCAGGATCCATTTGAGTCCTGACGGCAGGAGAGGCAGACGGGCGGTGCCCACTTTGCTCAGGTCCTTGTCACTGTGGCCAGAAGACCCGACAAGAACTCCTTAAGGGTGCAGAAGTTTGCTCCGGCTCCCAGGTTCAGGGTTCGGTCCACGGTCGATTGACTCCACAGCCCTGGCCCGCGGTGAGGCAGGGCATCCTGGTGGAAGGACTTGGGAAGGACAGCCGCTCAGGGCATGGCCTCCAGGAAGCAGGGACTCCGCTCACCACAGACAAAATACAAACCCCAAAGCCTGACCCCGGTGATCTGTTATCTGTAACCACAACCTAACTGCCTACTGACCACCCAGTTCATCCGCAGCTGTGGTGTATTCCATTGATCAGGCTACACCTCTCGTCAGGTAATCACTGCACCTTGGACATTCTCGATGTCTCACATGAGCCTTCGGGGACACCTCGTATCTAAGCCATAACAGTGCCAAAGGCACTGGGGGGAGCAGCTGGACATTAGTGGAGAGCTTCCACAGAATGGACAGTCTGGGCAGGAAACAGTCAGAGGAGGGGCTGTCCCAGTCATCACCGGGTGGGAAAGGAATAGAGAGCACAGGGAGTGTTCACACTGAGAACAGGTGGATTCTGGATCTGACTCCACAGTGTAGACCATGGTGTGGGGGCAGGAGGAGCAAGGCAGGAGGGAGTTGGAGCTGGCAGAGGAGGGCTCCCCCCTTGAGTCCTCCTCTGAGGGCTGAATTGTCTACCTAAGGTTTTCAAGGGATGCTGCAAATAAGTTATTTAGATGCATGACTAGGTGGGGCAGAGCATGCGTGCTCAAAGAGGACAGGGAATGTCCTGTTGAGATGTCCCCTGAGAACTGGTACTGGGGTAGACCTGTAACTGGGGAGAGCTGACCAATGCATTCAGACTGCAATGTGTTCATAATAGAAAGACCCCAGATACGTCTTGTGATCTTAATGTACATTAAAGTGACGTCAGGGTCTTTCTCCAACCACTGCTCAGGAGAAAATGTTACCAAGTTTAAATTTGCCATTAATACTATTCTTTTCTTGTTTGATGCAGTGGCACATGCATGTAATCCCAGAGACTCTGGAGGTTGAGGCAGAAGGATTGCAAGTTCAAAGCCAGCATCAGTAACTTAGTGAGGTCCTCAGCAAATGTATGAGACTCTTATCTCAAAATAAAAAAATACAAAGGTTTGGTTATGTGCCGTAAGGGTTGAGCCTCCCTGGGTTCAATCCCTGGCATGTTATGTTCTTGTCCAAACCACCATGTCCTAGAGAGGCAAAGCTTTCCTTTCTCTGGAACCCGTCACTGTTTCTCATTTGAAAATCTCTGAAGTTTTACCAAGCAAAATCAATACAATTTTAAATATCATGAAAGCAAAATGAAATTCAATTTAGGTATTGAATATGTAAATTTTTGTGATACAAATTACATTTTTTCATGGGCCTGTGTTAACATTTCAGACTGGTTCTTTCTTACCCTCTAGTGGGTCCTCAGTGGACAGTGGCTCTCACTAGTTCATGTCCCCTGACTCCCACTGCTGTGTCAATGGCTCAGGATCTGTCTCTGACAGCTCCAAGGCACCTCTCATGTTTCTATATGATGAAAAGTTCCTATGTGTGATATCACCAACTGAATTCCCCTTCTCTCATTTTGAGTTTCATCCTGGAACGTTCTCCTTTTAGTGAGGCTCTTCTTCCTGCACATAGAATAAAGTTCTGCAAGGTAATCACCAACACATTTCTGTTGCAACACTTGGTGGCAATATATGCACAATAACATTGGACAATTAACAAGAGATATGCAGCTTTTCCAAAGGGAAAAAAGACAGGTAACAGGAAACCCTTTATGGAGCAAGCAAATCTCAGAATTACTGAGTGCACAACATGCATTCAGAGCAACAACAAAAATCAACACTTAGGGGTTGATGAAATCATTGTGATTAAACGAATATCTTTACCCTTGAGCCCGTAATATAATGACCCGTCAGGGGCAAAAATTAACTGTGTCCGTTGCCCCAGACTCCACTTTACAGGTGACAAAACCGAGGCATGGTGAGGTTACAAGTCTAACCAAGGCCACACAGGAGAGAGGAAGCCAGGGGTCACCTCCAGGGCTGCTGAGGTCAAACGCAGGCCCTTGGCCATGGCGAGAACTGGTTCCTCTCCGCATCTGACTCAGCGATGCACCCTTGTGTGTAGACGGGGGAGACCTGCAGCACCTGGGGCCTGATGCAGGTCTTGATCACACTGCGGCAGGTGGAAACCTTCACCCCAGTCACTTGTTCCCAGCACAGTGAGGCTCCCTGGAAAAGCAGCATTTAAAATCACCTGACTTTGGATCATGACCGAGTCCAGGTGAGAAGAAAATCTGCTCTTCCTTTCGTGTTTGTAAGTCCTGCTGTCTCTCCCCTGGGGTCTTCCATTCCTCTTCCCCCAGGGCCAGCTTCATCTGCATCCCAAGTGGCAACGCAGTGTAACCCTGGTGGAAAGGCCTTCTCTTCCTTCCTTGCTCCCTGCTGCTGCCAGCCTTCCATGAGGACGGCTGTGCTCACCATGTTGACCTGCTCCGATTTCCAGGCTGCTCCGGGAGTCAGGAGAGCACCCCGGGCCCCTCTCTGGAGACCCCACCCAGGCACCCCTGCTTCTCTTGGGTTTTTCCTTGGCTACTGTCTCCTCCTTGCTTCTCAGTTCTCCTGGCTCTCCTGACATCACATAGGTCTCAGGACTACCTGGCCTGACCCCCTCTTGGTGCCCTGTTAGACGGCTGCAGCTTCCAGGCTCCTGGTGGGTGCTGGGTACTTGCGGTCACCTTGACCTCCCTCTCCATGGCCAAGGTTCTGCACTGTCCTCCCTGGTCTTTCCTCCCATGCTCCCTCCCTACCTACCTCGCCCACGGCTGTTCCCCAGTCAGACTTCCTTGCTCAGCCGTCCCGCTAACAATCCCTTCACTGTAGTCTTCCAGCCAGCCAGGCTGTCAGTCTCAGGGAAGAGCAAGTGCTTTATCTGCAACACAGAGGTGACCTTGGAGGACCCGTGTTCTCTGGTCGGAGGATGCTGACACCCTCTGGCTACCTCCAGTCTCAGGACCCTCCACTTCCTCATGTCACTCCTGGCTGAGGTCCCCGGGGAGAAGAGCTGCCCAGGGATAGAGCTACATTGAGGACAGGTGCTCTCCTCTAACCCCTCTGGCCCTTCCCTAGCTATTTGGAGAAGAATGCCTAGCTGGGGTTGTAGTCCCCTTGTGAGTCACCCATTGTCTGGAGCTATGATTTTCTCCATGGGGCCAGGGACTGCAAGGAGAGTCAGGGCAGGGACTTTATCATAGCCACATCCCAGAGTCCCGCCGTCAGCACTGTGAAGCACAGTGGACACACGCATGCGCATGAGAGGTGACCACAGCGCAGTTGGCCCCTCTGAACTCACGCCCCTCTGGGCTGGCTTTGTCTTCCCACCTACTTCCCCTCCGGCAGCAGTCATCTGCACACCATGAGCCCCGGTGAAGTCCACATGAAAATAGCCATTGCTGGCCCAGCTCCTGTTTTCTAGCTGATTCTCCTTTCCTGGATATTTTTAACCAAGTAGAAAAATATTCAGATTACAGCAGGATATCAAGGGGCCAGCCACATTCATCTTCACATGACATCTGTCGGGAATTTTCCAATAACAGAATGGGTGTAAAGTGCACAAGGAGGGGTATCACCGTGGGATTATGACATAAAAATGCTAAAGACCATGCAGAGGAATCTCTGCACGTAGAGTTTTGATTTGGTAATTCAAAGTAATGCAGTTTGTGGTTCTCCAGAAAACGGCAATAACCGTGCACAAGATGCGCTCCGAGCAGGACAGGGACATACTGTGCACCACTGACAGGCACCAGGCCAGCCCCTCGATGCCTCTGATCACCAGGATTTGTGCTCCCCTCCCGGAGAGAGCTGTGTACAGATGGCGTTTCTGTCTGGGTCGTTGAGCATAAATGCCAAGAGGCACTTGCTGAGAGGGCAGGTCTCCAGGAGGATGCAGTCTCCCCTCCCCGGCTTCTCTCCAGTCATTTCATTGGTTATGACTCACGGTAGTACTCCCCTTGGACATTCTTTGGAATTTTGGGAGTCCATCAAAATAACTGCTGAGTTGCTGAAGCAAGCAATAGTGATTTCCCAGGTCTTAAAACTTATCATCTGCATCTCCTCCCTGCAGCCACGCTGATGTCTACAACAGATGCCCCCTGACCAAGCTCCCCTCAGGATCCTCGGAGATCTCTTCTGCCAGATCTTGAATCCCCCTGAAGCCTGTTAAGTCTGGATACACCATCCCCACCCCTGACATCTGATCACCCTGCGTCCCCAAAGCCCTTGGTAGAGGTCCAGTTTTCCCCTGCCATCCTGATGCCTTATCCACAGGGCCTGCCCTTTGTGGAATTCCTGTGAGGTCATTTCAGGCAGGATTCCTCTTCCATCCATATCATGTTTTATTAATTTTAAGGGATGCATGGAAATATGAAAAGTAAACATGATAATGCTGTATCGTGTGTCTTTATGACACATGCATGTGTTGTATAAAGCTTAGACTGTGTCAAACACATTTGTTTCTGTTTCCTTGATAATCTGTCCATTTATCATGGGAAAAAAAAAAAAAAAAAACTCTCAACTTCCTTTCTTCTAAGTTGTTAAAATATTTCACATGTTATTGTTATGGCCAACTGGTTTATGAAAAAATGTCCCGCGTCTCCAAATAATAGAAAGACTGTCACCTTCTTAAATCTGTCTCTTCTTCTCTGTTCTTCCTTCCTGTCTGAACTTTACCATTTCTTTTCTTTCTGAAAGACACCCAAGTGTGATTTATTTCTTCTGTCTTGTTTCTGAATCCTTTTGTTAATTGTATAGTTTTTTATTTTTTTGGTGGGGATACCGGGGATTGAACTCAGGGGTGCTCTACCACTGAGCCACATCCCCAGCTCTATTTTGAATTTTATTTAGAGACAAGGTCTCACTAAGTTGCTTAGGGCCTGCCTCACTTTTGCCAAAAAACTGGCTTTGAATTTGCAATGCTCCTGCCTCAGCCTCCTGAGCCGCTGTGATCAGAGGTGTGTGCCACCACACCTAGCTGGTGGTTTTGTTTTTTTAGTGTTTTTATGAACACAGTTTTCTTGAGCCCCTTTTAATTCAGACTAGAGGATCAAGTACCACTCCGATGACCTCATCCGAGCAGCCATTCTGCTAATCTAGACAGGAGCAGCTCCATCTTCCTCCTAACAATGGCCCCCGGGGGACACATTCCTCCCACCAGAATCAGGAGTTCCCTGAGCATGGCTGCCAGGGACTACTGGGAGAGCAAGCCGCTCTGCCTGCTCCTGGAGAAGCCCGTGTGCTATGTTCTGCTCTGTGTCTGAGCCGTAAATATGTTTGGGATGCTAGCTCCATCATCCATGAAAATCTTTATTATGTCAAGCTTTACGCCACGCAAACATTTGGGCAGTGTGATCCCCATGCCCACACCCAAGTGAGGGCAGATTCCAGCGTGGCCTCAGACTAATAACACACATCCTTGGCAACTGTCTTTGAAGCCAGTCTTTGACTGAGAAGAATCTCAATGGCATTGGCATGCCGTCTATGTGTCTTCCTCACACCTAGGAGGAAAGAGCAGGAGGTTTGCTTTGCTTTGCTGAGTTTCTCTTATTTTTTCTCACCCAGAAGTCCAGTAATCTTGCCCCCAGAGAAGATGAGCATCACTTGACTGGTGTCCTTGAGCAGCCTGGGTAGAGGTAGAGACAGCGGCTCCTCACCCCTGCTCTTGGACCATCCCCAGCCCTCTGAGACCTGGTGCTGGCACCAGCTCTCTGCTCCACAGGTGCTAAAACTGCCACCATCTCATGTGCAGTTCTGACTGAGTCTGCTCTGGGAACTCCCCATTTTCCTGTGGTTCGTTCTGGCTGCTCAGGTCTCTTGTACCGCATTAGCGATGACCTTCGGGGCCTTCCCTCCCCACATAGTGATTTGTCTGCACCCAGAGGTGAGAACTTACTTGCAGATTCAGAGTTTCCTTCATCCGACTCATTCACCCAGTTTGGACTTCATTTCCCTATTCTAATATGATTCCCTGCTCTAATTATGTCTCCTGACTCAAAATATCTCTTACTTCAACAAAGACTGTGGAAGGAGATTCAGGACTAAGGAGTTTGGTTTCTTTCGATCATAGAGTGTGTTTCTTCTCACTCTTGGGGTCCTTCTGGATAGTCTGTGGATTCACCCCATGACTATTTCACTGAGGGCTTTTTATGTGTGAGGATGTCCTAGGCACTGGGAACATGGTGCCCAACCCCAGGAATTAACTTCTATGTCCTCATACCTTATGGAAAGGGAAGGGAGCTTCCTGGGTGACCTGCTTTGGTCTGGAGTGACTGGGTAATTGCTACAGAAATGGGAGATTCCTACCTTAGTCGGAGACAAGAGTGAGAAGACAAGATGGTCACTTGCTTTGTTTTGGATTAGTAAGTTCCGGGTTCCTTTAGCTCTAACACATCAACTGCATAAAATCGCCAGTTTTGTGGCCTTCAAATCTATATCCATTAATTCTCCTTACTGAAGTTTCCATCATGGATTTTGGAAGTGGTTATTGCATTGTTTTGCAGGTAACATATAATAAAATCATATTTTATGGGTTCATTTTCAAACTGCATCTGAGATCTATTAACAGAAGGTCAAAAATTGTATAATAGCTATCAAGTTTCCCACATTAGTCAGCTCCCTGTAGCTGTAACAAATACCTGAGGTAATAAATTTATAAAGAGGAAAAGGTTTATTTTGCTTTAAAATTTTAGAGCTTCTAATCTTTGTCCTCACTGCTTTGGGCTTGTCGGGTACATCATGGTGGGACCACATGACTGAGCACAGCCACTTATCTCATGGCTGAGAAACATAAGAGGAGAGGAAGAGACTGGGGTCCAAAGAGTCCTTTCAAGTGCACACTCCCAGTGACCTGAAGACCTCCCCAGAGGGCCCAACCTTAAAGACTCCACTACTATCCACAGTGCCAACCTGCGGACCGAGCCTATGACCCATGATACTTGAGAAACATTCTGGATCAAAACCTTAGTAGTCCCTTTTGACATTAAGTACTTTTTCAAGCATATAAATCAAAAATTAGTCTAAAATGGCTATTTTTTCTGGGTTGCTTATTACCTAAACTTTAATGTATACTGAAAATTTTGTGATAGCATGACTTCAACTTATATACCAGTTTGCAATTTTATTAATTTGATATTAAAAGCTAAAATCCTATTCCAGCTCATGATTCTAAAAAGCATAATTTTATCAATTCAAGAGATCACAAAATCACCCAATTAATAACTAACCTGCACTGTCAATTGCAAGGTCAGAGCCCCCTCACAGACCTCTCCACGTATCATGGATGAGGACTTCACTGTGTAACCTGTCACTGAAGTTTCCTTGGGGGGTGGGTATTAGAAAATGTATAATGAATAAAGGAGAAGGGGAAAACTGACAATTCTCCTTAAGAATGGTTCTCTTGAATTTATAAGTTTAAAATATTTTGTTTGGAAGAGAATGTTGGACTTTCCCAAAATGCAATTACTCTCTATCACGGCTGGAAGAGAAAGAAGAGCTGGGCACCCAGGCTCAGTGGTTTAGCACCTCTGAGTAGTTCAATCCTTGGTACTCCCCCCCAAAAAAAAAAATTAATTAATAAAAAGAAGAAGAGGAGGAGGAATTCCATGCTTTATATGTTAATATTTTAGTATCTGGCTTATTTACACAGCCATGATTCTAAACTAAGCTCAGTGTTATTGCTTATTCCAAAGCAGTATCTACAGAGGGACTTGGGACGAGGGGTGGGCTTCCCTGATTCTGGTGCAGACCCTGCAGGGAGTTTCAAGGATGTTCTCAGGACATTGTCACCAGCCTGTGGCAGCAAGAGGCCCTCCATAGCTGCCTCCTGTGACTACAGAAAGCTATGAGAAGTTGTGGAGGGGAAAGCACCTTAATTTAGAATGTAAGCATGTTCCGGAAGAACCCAGAGAGCCAGGCTTAGTTAACCCAGGTGAGCTTCCCATATCAAACGACTATCCTGCAGTCCGGGTATGCCATGGCGCGTGTGCGCATGCCTATGTGTGCACAAACACATTCATGCTGCATTCTGTCCTCTATGCCTTAGCACGCCTGTTGGCTGTGAGAAGCTGGATATTGAGAGTGTCATCTTCCCAGAACTCCTGCAGCTGAGGGTGAGGAGTGACGTCCACAGGAAATAGCCCCGGGTTGTCTGCGTGACTGCGCGCTCTGCACGTGCCTGGCGCATCACGGTGCAAACGTACCCAGCACAGTGTTGCCAGGAGAGCGGAGAGTGGCGGTCAGTGCTGTGCCCAGGGGGTTCCAGCCTCTGCGCTGTTCGACTTAATCAAGCACAAACACATAAGCAGCACAGCCCCTCCTGCGAGCGCCCGCTGTCCTGGCTCCGCTGCCCAGTGTTGCTCCCAGTGCTGGGCCTCGTCCTGTAGTCAGGCTCTGGCTGCAGGCTGCGGGGGATCCACCAAGGAGGTGGGTGCCTGAAGCTCCATCTTCACAAATGAATCCAGCATGCTGTTCAGGGGGAGGACAGAGAAGTGTGTGTTCTCAAGCACGGTTTATAAATATTCTTTCAAAATTGTGTAACACGTTCAAAGGCATTTTTAATATTGCTTTAATTTAATTCTGGCATGGACAAATGTGACTGCAGAATAGTTCTCCCTAAGTCCATGTTGGTAGCTTCTTACAAACAAGGAGTGGAGACAGAAAAAAATGTCAGCTATGCCTTTCATATTCTAAAAGAGACCAAATACTGCTTTAGAGGGGGACGCCAAAGAGGGCCTAGACCCAGGCCACAGCCACACCTCTCAGCGTCAGAGGTGCACCACTGGCTTCTGGATTCAACTGAATTTGCCAAAAAGAAAGAAAGAAAGGAAGGGAGGGAGGGAGGGAGGGAGGGAAGGAAGGAAGGAAGGAAGGAAGGAAGGAAGGAAGGAAGAAAAATTAGTTACTTTATTCTGTCCCTCTTTTCTCCACAGCCCCCACCTGCTGGTTGGCAGGAGCCACAAGTCCCTAGCCAGCCTGCGTGCTCAAGGTTTGCCTGATGAGTCGATGTCACGATGCCATCCCCTGCTCCACATGCTCAGGCCCTGGGGTCTTGCTCCTGGCTTCCCCCTCCCGCAGAGCTGACTTGCAGTGGTGGGCGGACTCTAGTGGCAGAGGCACCGGGCAGGACTGCATCCCAATATGTGCCTGCCCTCTGCCAGCACTGCCCCTGGCTCTGTCTCCCCGAGAGCCGATTCTTCTGCTCCCTGCGGGCAGCGTAGAGCACACTTGGACCCTCCTGCTTCTCCAGCTCTTCTGTGGCTGCCTCCATCCTGCTACAGAAGCTCCTCCATTACAGCACTCCTCTCTCTCTCCTGCTCCCCAGCAAGCACACACCTACAGAGCCCCAGGGAGACTCAGGGGGTGTCCCCAAGGTGTCCTCTGAGGCAGCAGGCAGGCATGGGCTGCCTCCTTACAGAACCCCAAAGGGAGAGGGAGAGTGGGTACTTCTGCTT